AACCCCGCCCCCCAGAGGCCCATTACCCGCCGCCGGCGAATTGGGCCCCGGGGGGGAACCCCACCCCCAAAGCACGCGACGTGCACGTCGCCCGGAGGTGACACGATCGCATCGGGCGCATTGGGGGCGGCGCCACGATCATCTGAGGGAAAATTATGTTTTTCCCTCGGATGGTTGTGGCCGCGCCCCCAGTGTGCCCAGCGTGGTTGCGTCACTTCCGGGCAACAGGGTTGTGACGCGCAAAGCGCGCGCACACACACTCCCGGAGCAGCGCTGGAGTCCCCCGCTCCAACACTGATCCGATTTGGCAACCCTACTTCTTCCCCACCGGATTCAGCTGATGTGGGTGTGGTAGGGCTCCGTTTTGGGGCTCTGTTAGGAGAGTGATGGTGGCTACTTTCACTTTCAGGTTCCCCTAAGATGGCTGAGAAGGCGGGAACATCTAGCTCCCAAGGCACAGAGAGTCTTAACCCTTCACAGACTACCAATATATTCTCCCAAAATACTGAGCCCTCAGGAGAGGAAGCCCAGTCAAATTTCTCTCCTGGCTTAGAGAGGAAATGAGAAAGAATTCATTGATCTAGGACAACAGGCAGCTTCTTCATAGGCTACTGTCCCGTCTTCTAAAATAGACAGGAGTCCCAGTACAAAGGGCAGCCCTCCTCCTAGAAATACAGGCCTCCCAAGCATAGTGCCAGAAAAAAGGTGAACTATTAGAGCAGGAGAAAGAAAAGGGTGCCTGTCATTCAATCTAGACTCTTGCTCCTAATCTCTATAATAGAATATGGGCTAAGGTCATGAGGGCACTAGAGCTTACATACACTCCAAAGATACAGGAAGAGAAGGAGGATCCTGGGTTCTTTCCTGTAGGCTCTGACGAAGCCATTTCCAAGTGTGCCGCTTCCTGTGGCATTATATAATATCATTATGGCAGAATGGAAACACCCAGCCAATCCAAAGTCTGGGAAACCCAGTGTTTAATAAACTCTGCTCTCTTATTCCAGAAGCCACAAAGAAGTTCAAACTTCCTATGGTGGATGATTCAAATAACTTATCAGCGTCTACTTCTCTACTTCCCGTGGACGCTGATGGACTCCCAAAAAAGACAAGGGAGTTGCAAAGGCACTGCGTAGAGTTTTTTTGAGGTGCCTGCCATCTCCCTTAGAGTATCAGCTATGGGATCCCTGTTTGCTCAAGTGGCCTACCTGTGGGCCTCAGAGCTAACTACTGTAGACAGTGACATACCAAAGAGCCTTATAGATCAGCTAAAACAGATAGCTCTAGCC